TAAGAGACAGCCCCATACTCTCCTCCCTCCCCTCTCTCTTTCTTTTTTCTTTCTTTTTTAAATTTTCCTTCCTTAAGAATTAAGATTCTGGAGATGTTTTCTGCACAGAGCCTTCACTCTGTCTTATCACGACTGATTGAGCCTCCTAGAACTGAATCTTTGCGAGCATCAAAGATGCGACTACAAGACTTGGGAGCATTAAGTCCTGATGAAAAGCTCACCCCTCTGGGATATCACTTGGCTTCTCTGCCTGTTGACATCAGGATTGGCAAGTTAATGCTGTTTGGCACCATCTTCCGCTGCCTGGATCCTGCACTAACTATAGCAGCCAGTCTGGCCTTTAAGTCACCATTTGTAAGTATCATGCATCCAGCTCTGAAAGTGGTATGTTTTCATACAGCAGCAAAACCTTGTTGTAACTTGCAGCTTACTACACCGGAGTATTTTAATTGTCCTTTTTAGCCTATGTTGTTTATATGTTAATGCAGTGCTCATTAAAAAAAATCCAGTTAGAAGCAGAAGACCAAAACCATGCAGCAGCAACAAGAATGTTATTTATGAGTGAACAGTAGAAACAGAGTGGATATTAGTTTGAATTTGAACTAAGAAGTAGTTTGAAGTAGTTTGGTGTAAAAACTGAAAATAAATGGTAATACAAGGAGCAGAGAGAAGTAATTACAAAACCGTGATAACAGTGAACTTGACAAGTCTCAGCTGTGAATGCGGTTCAGATTGGATCTCAGGTTGTGTGTTCACTTCCACTTTGGTTTTTTGAATTAGCTGCTGTACTTACAAGTGCTCTTACAGTTGTTAATCTTCTACTGCAATGTACAAGCTTGCATGAAAAGTCAGACTTTCTTGAAGTTCTGATTGCTGTTGTTAGTGGTGCAAATAGTTTGTATTCAGGACAGTTGTGAAAGAAGTGGAAAATAGAATGTTCTAGTTATTTAATTACATATTGTTTTCTGTATGCTTATTGGGCATTTTCTACAGCATTTTGACTTCCAGTGCTATAAGTTTCTATATGCTGATGTAGAATAACTTCAATTCAGCTTTTTGAATGTCCTGTGTTACTATCGCCTCCTCTCTCTCGCAGACCCAAGTGGATTTTAGACTTGCTGTGCTCTTCTCCGTTACAGGCATTCTCATTTGAGATTCAGCTCCATTAACTTGCTAAGATTTGTCAGATGGTGTTTTCCTGGATCTTTGCATTCTGCATCTGCAGAGAGGTCTGCCCAAAATTAAATATTTTGTGTGAGCTTGTCGATCACAAATTCACCTTTGGATCTCTTGTGGTTAGATAGAGCAGTGGGCTTGGGTGCTTTGCTGTTAACTAGGCATTTCTGAATGCCTCATCGTATTTTCTATTATCTGTGGAGAATATTTGCATTCTGACCTGTGAGTTGCTGTGAAAATACCAAAGATTGTGCCATGCAGCTCTTGCAATGGCTTGTCTAAGTTGTAAGGGGAAGAACACGCTTAATCTGTTACTGCCTGTCTAGGTGTCGCCATGGGATAAAAGGGAAGAAGCAAACAAAAAGAAGTTGGAGTTTGCAGTAGGAAACAGTGACTACCTGGCTCTTCTCCAGGCATATAAGGTGAGCTAAAATTCAGTAGCTTCTCTAAGAGGTTTGTAATGTCATTGAAATTCAAGCTGAAATATTTTATTAAGGGTTTCCTCACATCCTTTCAATTAGGGATGGCTTTTAAGTGTCAAAGAGGGCTCTCTGGCAAGCTACAACTACTGCAGGGAGAACTTTTTGTCAGGAAGAGTACTTCAGGTAAGTCAGTTTTTGTGGCCTTGTGTGGGGACTGGTTGAGATACTGGCAGAGTCTTAGTGATGAAAATAAGCAACTGGTGAAGACTCTCCTCTGGAGAGAGAAGGAAAAAAAAGCAGCGTAGTTCCATACACAGGACAAAACCCCAAGATTTTATAAAAACACCCTTTGTCTGTTTGTAGGAAATTGCCAGTCTGAAACGGCAATTCACAGAACTGCTTTCTGACATTGGGTTTGTGAAAGAGGGATTAAGAGCCAGGGACATTGAGAAGAAGTTGTCCCAAGGAAGCGATGGTGTGTTTGATGCCACAGGAGAAGAGGTAATTCACAGCATTTCACTGCTCCAAAATGATGCTACAGTTCTTGTTTGACATGAGTGCCAGGTGGGCTATAGACTGGGCGGCTTCTTGCCACAGCCTGGCTTTGTCATCTCACACTGGCAAGTCACCTCTTACCTGCTCTGTTCTTCCTCCCCTCACATTGTACATGCTGGTATAAGCCTCAATGGCATGAGGCCTTATGTGCCGGGGAAGAACAGTCCCAGATGTGGAAGTGAGATGAAACCTGGTCCTCTGAGATGGTAAAACACTGCTGATTTGACATGTGGAAAGGCATGGGTCTGACTCATAACCTGGCCTGCATGTTGGGATTAGTGTCAATGTCAACCTTATTTAGGGAACAGCATTACAGAGCAGGCAGTGAAATATTTCAGCATTGCAGACAGTCTTCAGAAAGCAGTACCTCTGGAGCCACAGATCTCCTAGGGCTACATGATGACGTGATGAGGATTTGGTAGTTGTAGAGTATCACTGTGCATTGGGACAAATTGTGTCTGCTTTCTCTCTTTGTAGACAGACATTAGGGAATAATTACATTTGACACTAACTGCATCGAGGTAGTTGGTGGCCATTTTCTCCATTGATAGTGGGGGAAGCACAGCCCAGGTCTAGCTTGAGACCTTAGGAGAAGTAACTGGTCCTTTCCTTATGAAGCACAGTAGGGCAGCTGTAAAAGTAAACCAGTTTCAGGAATTCTGTCATTCCAGAATCAGGGCTTACCTTTATAGACTTACCTGCAGAATACCTAATGCCATGCATTAATTTCACAGGCAAATTCAAACGCAGAGAACATCAAGCTGATCTCAGCTATGTTGTGTGCTGCACTGTATCCCAATGTCGTCCAGGTAAAAGAATGCCTTTTCATTTTCTCTTCTGCTGTCTAGCATATCCACAGGACCTGCTTTCAGTCTGGGCCAATTGTGGCAGCCTTGAGCCTGGCTTAGGTTGCCAAAGCTTGCTACTTATAGTGTCAGAGCCAAGCCACTGAGCTCCAGTTTGTATTGCTTGAGACTGCTGCTGTTCCTACAGGCTGATTTTAGTGTCACAAAGAAGCCAGCAGCAAATGTTCTTAAGTTACTTTAAATTACAGCCATTTAGAAGGCGAGGTTACAAATGAGCAGTAAGGGTTAGACGGCACCTGGAGTGTAATATCTATCTGTCTCTAGTGGCTTGACATGTTAGCGCTTGAGTATTTCTGGTTTTGATAAAATAAAAACATAAGCTAAAAAGGTTTTCTGGTGCAGCAGATTTTATAACTTTTTATCTTGCCATACAGGTGAAAAAGCCAGAGGGCAAGTACCAAAAGACCAGTACAGGAGTGGTCAAAATGCAAACAAAAGCAGAAGAGTTGAAGTTCATTACCAAAAATGACGGTTATGTTCACATTCATCCTTCATCTGTGAATTACCAGGTCAAGATTCGTTTCTTCTATTTTTCTATAAAAGAAATCACCTTTTCATGAGTAGCTGAGATTACAGTGAGGGTCCCTACTTATGTTTTTTTAAAAATCTTCATGATTAAACAGTCCCCTGTTAGAATTGTAAGTAATTGTGTGTTCCTGAGTTAAGAGTGTCCTTTTAGGCACACAGTTAAAATGACAGCCTCTAGCATGGAATTAGCAGATACAGTAACCCCCCAGTTCAGGTTTTCTTAAGATTCATCTGCAAAACTGCACACAAAGATGTGGTTGCAGTGGTCCCCTGGCTACTTCTCAGTACTGACTGAGATTTCATGCATGTGTGTAGCACCTTCGTACTCCTTGGATGACTTCTCTCCACTGCCCCTCACCAGGTTTTCTCTCTTCAGCTGAAATATTATTTATTGGTAAATAATTCAGGGACATACTCTGGTTGGTTTCTTCATGGGTTCTCAAACTCTGAAGTTAATTTCCTTTCCAGCTTGATAGCTCATACTTAGATAAGAGCTCTGCTCTCTCTGCCATGATGTATGGTGATATTTGGCTCGTGAAATCTGTCTCCATATTTGATGATTCATTGCTTTTCCAGGATATAAATTGTTTTGAAAAGGTGACTTTTACATACATACATATATATATATATATATATATTATTATGGCTTTGAACTGTTCAGCACTCCTGCTCTGAAAGAGCATAACAAATGCACACGCAAAAACGTCAGCATGAAATGGAGAACTTGGGGCTTCATCAATTGAATTGATGAATCAACTGATTTCTCACATGTTCACTGCAAAGCAGGAAAGAGCAGGGAGTAACAGGCAAAGTTACCAGCAGCTCTTAGGAGTCAGAGAGAGTCTGTTAGTCATGCAGGTGCATTTTAGGCACATTTGCTGTTCTTTGCACCTGTAGCAGAGGCAGGGAAGGGTGTGTGGAGGAGGCAGGCAGGTTCCTGTTTGCCTGAGCAGGTTGGAAGAGATGTGGCACTTTTTAACAAAGATGTTGTGTACATGTTCCAGACTAGGCACTTTGAGAGCCCCTACCTGGTGTATCATGAGAAAATCAAGACCAGCCGTGTGTTCATTCGAGACTCCAGTATGGTGTCCGTGTACCCGCTGGTCCTGCTTGGCGGTGGACAGGTTCACATGAAGCTGCAGAAGGGAGAATTTGTCATTTCTCTTGATGATGGATGGATACAGTTTGTGGCTGCTTCTCACCAGGTAATGAAAAGGAGGGCTGATCCTGGGAGTGCTGCAGAGCTGTGCATGCATTTAGAATGCAGGAGATGCATTTCATGAGCCTTACACTCATCTCTTGGTTTGCTTTACCACGTGTTAGGTGGCTGAGCTGGTGAAAGAGCTGCGCTGTGAACTGGACCAGCTGCTGCAGGATAAAATCAAGAATCCCAGCATGGATTTATGCATGTGCCCCCGCGGATCTCGGATCATTGGTATGATTGTAAAGCTTGTGACCACGCAGTAATGGGGAGAGCAGCTTTCTATAAAACCTCACTGTTTACTACTGCCTGAGAACAGATCACGTAACATCAAGGTCTTGATGTATTTGTTGTCTCAAAACATGGCGCTGATCTCTGGAAAACCAAGTTGGCAACCGGTTTTAGGACTTTTTCCTTTGTTTGGAGAGAGCTCGTTTATTGAAATTAAGGTTGTCAACACTCTGGGACATGGGAAAATGGCAACTCTCCTAGGAGGAATAGAAACCTCCAAGTAAAAAAGTGTTTTTTCATGAGACTATACACTGGCAAGAGTGTTTTCTGGTCGCAAAAATAACTACTGCCTAGCTGCTTCTTGTAATAGTGATGTCTGGAGGCAACATGCGATGTCATAAGCTGCTCCCAAACTTGTTTAAGCTCACTTCTACATTTTGGCCAAGACTTTACTGAGGTAGTCAGTCTTGGCTGACCAGGGATCATTTTGCTTATGGTTCAACCTAAAGTCCTTAAGAAGGTGAGCACCTTTTGATTCATTCTAATGAACCCTGCTCAAGCAGGGTCTGTACGACTCTTCCCCCAGGTACATGTGAAATTCCACCTGGGCCATCCCAAAGTGACTGTGAGGGCAAGGACAGCTGCTGATGTCACAAGTGATAATTAGCAGCATCCACCCCACCAGAGGGAGGACTTGGGACACATGATCATAATGCCTTGTCTCAGTGGCCAAATGGGCAAATCTGGGAAGGGAACAAAGCACAGCTCAATAGATGCCATCACAGATGAGGGTGAGTGTACCTCTAGCGGCCAGGGCAGCAGCACCAGCTCTTCCTGTAAGCAGTACCCCATCTGTTGCCTGGACAGGGCAACTTCCAAGAACTACACAGGTACTAACCATGCCTTGGGGACTGGGGCACAGGAGTTTTGTTACTTGATTCCTTTAGCCCCTGAAACCAGTGCCAGTCAATGCAACAGCTCTACTTACCCATAAGGAAAAAAATACTCAAAAAAAAAAAAAAAAAAAAGCCTGAGACAGGGAAAGCAGTCCAGCACCCCAGGGGTAGAGCAGAGGCAGAGAGAACAGGAGCCCAAGCTGTGCTGCACTACCCCCTGCAAGCTCTCCCCAGCACAGCTGCAACTGCCTCTGAGCCAGCAGCCAACAAGAGGATGAAGCCACATTAAATACACGTGACAAACACCAAACTACTATTCATGGCCAGAGGCCTCCCTGTGAGGTATGAAGAGTCCTGACCTGCAGGGTCTGCTTGTGACCACGCAGTAATGGGGAGAGCAGCTTTCTATAAAACCTCACTGTTTACTACTGCCTGAGAACAGATCACGTAACATCAAGGTCTTGATGTATTTGTTGTCTCAAAACATGGCGCTGATCTCTGGAAAACCAAGTTGGCAACCGGTTTTAGGACTTTTTCCTTTGTTTGGAGAGAGCTCGTTTATTGAAATTAAGGTTGTCAACACTCTGGGACATGGGAAAATGGCAACTCTCCTAGGAGGAATAGAAACCTCCAAGTAAAAAAGTGTTTTTTCATGAGACTATACACTGGCAAGAGTGTTTTCTGGTCGCAAAAATAACTACTGCCTAGCTGCTTCTTGTAATAGTGATGTCTGGAGGCAACATGCGATGTCATAAGCTGCTCCCAAACTTGTTTAAGCTCACTTCTACATTTTGGCCAAGACTTTACTGAGGTAGTCAGTCTTGGCTGACCAGGGATCATTTTGCTTATGGTTCAACCTAAAGTCCTTAAGAAGGTGAGCACCTTTTGATTCATTCTAATGAACCCTGCTCAAGCAGGGTCTGTACGACTCTTCCCCCAGGTACATGTGAAATTCCACCTGGGCCATCCCAAAGTGACTGTGAGGGCAAGGACAGCTGCTGATGTCACAAGTGATAATTAGCAGCATCCACCCCACCAGAGGGAGGACTTGGGACACATGATCATAATGCCTTGTCTCAGTGGCCAAATGGGCAAATCTGGGAAGGGAACAAAGCACAGCTCAATAGATGCCATCACAGATGAGGGTGAGTGTACCTCTAGCGGCCAGGGCAGCAGCACCAGCTCTTCCTGTAAGCAGTACCCCATCTGTTGCCTGGACAGGGCAACTTCCAAGAACTACACAGGTACTAACCATGCCTTGGGGACTGGGGCACAGGAGTTTTGTTACTTGATTCCTTTAGCCCCTGAAACCAGTGCCAGTCAATGCAACAGCTCTACTTACCCATAAGGAAAAAAATACTCAAAAAAAAAAAAAAAAAAAAGCCTGAGACAGGGAAAGCAGTCCAGCACCCCAGGGGTAGAGCAGAGGCAGAGAGAACAGGAGCCCAAGCTGTGCTGCACTACCCCCTGCAAGCTCTCCCCAGCACAGCTGCAACTGCCTCTGAGCCAGCAGCCAACAAGAGGATGAAGCCACATTAAATACACGTGACAAACACCAAACTACTATTCATGGCCAGAGGCCTCCCTGTGAGGTATGAAGAGTCCTGACCTGCAGGGTCTGCTTGTGACCTCTGCTCCCTGAGAGAAGCCTTCATTTCCTAAAACCAGTGTCTAAATATATTATCTTCTGCACCAGAACTGCCAGTTTATCCTAAGTATCACAAAGAAATACTATTTGGACAACCAGGCCATAGAAGAGCATTTCTAAAAATATTTACTTCAGGATTTAAACATTCTAGAAGTATTCCAAATACCTCCAGGTGAGTTCATTGGTCCTTTAATCAACAGCATTCACACACATTCCTTGTTTTTCCATCCATTTTTCTATGTCCTTTGTAGACATTAGACCACAACTGCCTGTTAACAGCACACCTCCTGCTTTTCACCATGGCAGGACCTGACCTGCTTTAGCTACCCAAATATCAACAGAAACAGCAGGGTTATCACAAAATATTTCTTAGTTAGTTAGAAATGCAGAGTTTATTTCAATGCACAATAAAAAAAGCCAACATTTCCAGATCACAGAACATTAACACAACAAAATGTTTTGAATTAGTCTACTAATAAGACTTTTAAAAGATCCAGATTCATGCCAATTGTTGGTCAATAGAAACAGCCTTCTAGGACTAAGCCCTTACATTTATAAAGACGCCACAAAATCCCTTATAATAATGTAAACAAAATAAATTTTCTTCTTAAACTTCTTAAATTTTAATCCATTCTTCCAGGACTTGCATTCCTTCAAGGGCTTCCTGATGGTGAGTGACTGAAAGGGAAAGAAAAACATAAAGAGCAACTGTTACAGTAAAAACCAACAGAAACTCTGCATGCTACCCCAGGTTTCCCCTACTCAGAAGCACCCCCCTGCCGATAATGCCCCTCTGCACACTATTTTCATTTACAGTTCAGAAGTGAGAAAAGTGTTGTATTTACAATTATTTATGGTACACCTTTCTAAGTAAGGACTGCTTTAAGCTTGAAAAGGACAGGAAAAACAACAAGAGATAAGCTGTAACAGAGTCTGCACTCTAGCTGTGAAAAGGAATTTGTACTGGGCCACAACCTACATGGTCAGCATAGGGCTAGCCACAAGGCACAGTCTCAGACCCTGTAAATTGCAGCTCATACTTCTCCAGTTACATTGGAAAATTTGCTGCTTACTTCACAGTGCATAGCAAAACATGGTAGCTGTGCAACTGACAGCCAGTTGTGAGGAGCCACCAGCAGGAATTTAATCCTACCACGTATTACATGGTTTGCTCCATACCTTACATTACTCACTTCTTCCCCAGATTCTGAACTCCTCAGGAACTTCAGACAGTTGATTCTCATTTGCCCACATTTTCTGTTGTCCTTTAGAATTCCACTAAAGAAGGTGGCCTCAGAGTTATTATCACAAAGTTCTGAGGTTCAGCTGTAGGAAGTGCTCATAAAACTTCATCTTTTCATAGTAGGAAGTACCCATAACAATTCATCTCTTCATAGTTCACAAATTTAGACAAGCAAAAAAAAAAACCTTAAAAGCTTTTATCCTTGCACAAGTTAACTTCTTTAGCAACCACTCCCAGCACTAGTTCTATGTAACAGTACAGCACACTCGTTTTAAGACATTTTTACCTTCTCTTTGGAGACGGTGATCTGGACTTTGAGTGACTGTTAAAAAAAGAAAAAAAATCCAGACAAATCAAAACAACAACAATGGTAAAAACTCATGTGTGTGTACACACTCCATAACCATTTTTGACCACTTAAAATCAGTAAGAACAGTTTGTTGTTAGACACCACACAATGCTGCTGATAGCAAGTATTCAAAATTACTTTAATCATGCAGTTGAGAAAGAAAACTGCTGAAAAGTTAGAGCTCTCAGGAGAAAGAGCACCACACAGCTTCAAAGCAGCTATAAAATGATGACAGTAATCCTGCAAAGCAGGAGCTGTCAATCAAGTAGACGAGAGTCAGGAAGACTGAGAACTACAATTAAGAACAACGGTTGGGAAAGATACACCCCAAATTCTGTCAAATATACTCTTTGTCACAATCACGGGTTAAACAAAAACCTGTATCCACAATTCTTCTGGAAGAATTGCCTACTGATCCACAAAAAGCAGCGATAAAAAAAAAATCCATGTATGAAAAATATTTTTAAATCAGCTATTAAAAAAAACAACACCCAAAACCCACACCTCTTCCACATGCAACTGAAATACTGGTCCAAGCAGAGATTTTGAATCGTGACCAAAAAAAGAAATTACCGAGTACTACTTCTATTTACACGCTCACCTTTTAGCAGGTAAGCCAGACTTAGATCTACCATGGGACCCAGACCTACGACAGGAGAAAAATAAAGCTCAGAAAAGCAGCCAGTGGTATGCACATACAATGAAGTTAGCTAAACCAGCACCAGCAAATTCATATAACTACATAGCATCACAACCCAGAGCAGAAGACTGTGGTGCTACAGGCTTTTCTCATGACATTTCAGGAAAATCCTTTAGCTCTTGCTCCCAAGACCCTGGTTACCAGAAGACAAGAATAGAAGCAAAGAAAGCCCCCCAGCAAAGCTTCAACTACCACTTTCACAGAACAAAAGACCCTGGTACCAGGCTCACAGACTTTCTCCCCACCTGCAAGTAGCCCTTCTGTGAAGGGAAGAATAGTTTTGAGTGTCATCTCTGAATATCACATTAAGAGCCTGAAATCAGCCACAGGTAAGCACTTGTGGTGAAAAGCTGATGCATTCTTCAGATGAAATTCCTGCTGCCACTATAGCTATTATCCCATGAAAACAGCACTCCAGTTTTCTCAATACCTGGCTACTGATGTGTAAACTATTCCCAGTTCATCTTAAAAACCTTGTGATTTAAAAAAATCAGTGAGACTTTCCTCCCACATTTATCACATTACCAACTCAGCTATTTGCTGTTACTTAAAAAATATTTGTTCTCCTAGAGTGTCAGAATTCAGGCACGTGTTTATTACTGAACATCAGAAAGGCCGGTGTTCAAGGTAGTCAGTTGTTTAAGACGACTTGGCAAAAAAAGAAAGAAACTATTTCTGCTCAGAACTGTTTTTAAAAGGGTAATCAAATTCACCTTTACCTGGCCTACTAACTTACAGAATACTACAGGGATGCTGTTGGCATAAGAGCTACATGCCACTGCTTTGAAACCTTCCTGGTCACTATGCTCAACCATCCTCTGTCACAGTTCCTAACACTATAACCAGTAATTTCCTTGCCATATCACAGTTACACAGGATGGAGTTGCTCACAACTACCCAGAACTTTTATTTGGTACCATTAGCATGACTTACTTTTAAGAAATACGGTAAGGCAGCACACCAAGAGCATCATCTTACAATGCTTCCATAACTTCAGTTCCAAACTACCACTTCTCACTACTGCAACTGCAGCCCAACGCAAAGTCAGCATTCCTCAGAAATTTTGATACGAGTATCAAGTCCTTCATGCTGGAACACGACTGTCCATGAACCAGAAGACTGTGAGCAACATCAGCAGTATCCAGACTACCACAGTATCAGTATGCAGTTTGAGCCTGGCTAGTCATCTGCATTACAGACCTGGATGAGTAGTCAGGACAGCTCTAGTAATCATCATCACCCCCTTAAAGGCTCAATATGCAAGTTGTAAAGCAGCAGGCAGACCCTTAAAAAAACATTTCCCCCATTCTAATGCAAAACACAAGACAGCTTTTCACAATTCATTAGTTCTTATGTCCATCACCTTTTTATCCTACTCTTTCACCCTTCTTCCAACTAAGACTTACCACAAAGGCTACAAGAAAATAATGCAGGAACATTTATTCTACACCCATTTTCAACTTCCATTTTATCATCGAAAACACCCACATCCACAAAAAAGGACTACATGTCAGACAAGTTCTTCAAAACACTACCTGTGGCATTAAGACTCATGGTCCTGCTCATTCAGCCCTCTGTACCTCTGAAGTCAAGCATCCTACACCATGTTATTAACACAACAATTTATCTGACTCTCAGAACTGGAACTGACAAAGCTGAAGAGCTGTGATCAAGAGTTCAGCCAACAGTGGCAACCTTCTCATCACCTCCCCCCCACACCCAACATTTGGGATTTACAAAAAAATCACACCAACATAAACAGTACTTTCTATAAGACAAAGGTCAAACCTTCTCTATGTGCATAGGTATTAACTAGTTTTCAAAACCTCTCTCAGCAGACCTTAAATCATATATATGTTTATGGCTGCATACACGTAGACTACATACAGCAGCCACATACCAGAACAAATTCATGTTTATTAAAAGAAATGGACCACTATTTTAGTCTGTGGAAAGGCATAAATTATTAACCTTAAGTGCAAATATTACTACACTGCACAACCTTCTAATCCCTTCCAGCCAAACTCCTTGAGGAAGAAAAAAGAAAACAAAACAAAATTCCAAACCTACTATTCGTTTGAATTAAAACAAGTATCTTACCTGCTTCGAGGCCAAGCAACAGACCGGGACCTTGAGCGTGATCTGGACCTAGATCTAGATAAAAGCAGTGACACTACTACTACATGGTTCACACAGCTAATATTTTTTATGACACTGACCTCAGAACTGTTTTAACTATTGCTTTCATGGAACTTTTATTATTAGAAAACTGTAGTACACTTGGCCAGTACTACCGCCCATAGAAGAAATCCCACTGGCCTAGCTGACTAAACATAATTACTCCCTGTATCCTTGAAGATGAAGTACAAAGCCTTAACCATAAGTCAAATCTTTAACTTTGGTACAGTATAGTAAGAGTTCAGGAACAACAGTTCCACCATGACATGCTTAAGTTTTTAACTTCAAAGAAAGCATTCAGATTAGCCCTCAGGGATGTAACACCATGAAGGTTCCTGCAAAAACATGGACTGCAAAACATTAACTTAACATTAACCCCAACAGTTATGTTTCCTTCAGCAATGTTGTGGGCTTAATAGAAAAGACATACCTTGACCTCCTTAAAGAAGCAGACCGAGATCTGCGGGGTGAAAATGATCTATACCTACGAGGAGAGATTGACCTGGACCTGCGGTAGGAAGCTGACCTTGATCTACAAAACAGAGAAATAAACAACCAGAATTATTGCAAGGTACTTTTCATGAGGACTACAGAAAAGGGTGGAGCAGAGGGAGGAGTAAGAAAAAGAATGAAAATATAACAGCCAGAAACCTACCTCCTACCACGACTCCGACTGCGTGACCGAGAATACCTTCTTCCTCGGGACCTTGAGCGGGATCTAGACCGGGACCTGGTTTTAGGTTAGAGAAAACAGGTATCAGGAAACAGCTGCAGCACTTGCTGCATGTGAGACCCTGCTGAAGTCAAAACTGATTTCAGACAACTAAAAAAAAAAACCAAACCAAAGAAACAAAAACACCAAAGAAAAACACAAACCAAACCAACAAAAACACACCACTAGCATCTGTCAGTTGGAAAAAAATCTCTGGGCCTACTTGTCTTGAGCATTTTACTACCTAGAAAAATGTTAAAAGCTGAATTACATTGCAGAATTACATTAGAATAGAAAACACTGTAATGCGTATTTAAAATAAACCTTGCAAGTTTGCAGGTCGACCCTCTTTGGCCCAAGGTCTAGCAGATCTAGACGATCTAGAAGTATCTATAGCCGATCGCTGCATCTAGGTGTTCTCTTCAATCTAACGACGATCAAACTGACAGCCCAATGAGCCAAGGTGAGGCTTGATTGACGCAAGAAGATTTTTCTAGGTGGGAATGTGGTCAATCTGGTGTTCCTCTTTCTAAACCGGAGGGGGGCCCCAATTGAAAGCCAAATTTACTGTTACGGCGATCACCGTCTCAAATTTTCTGCCCTTAAAGAATAAGGTGAAGCTACGTGTAGATGGCTCGAGGGGATCTGGCCTCTTATGCTGATCACCTCAAGGTCTAGGAGGATCTTAAGTGTCGGATTTGCAAGGCGCCTCAGCATGAAATCTTAAGGCTCGTGACATTCTGAATCAAGGCGACTGACTCAAACGAAGAAACCTGAAAGGTTTTGACCAGGTTGATTATTAAGATATTAACATTTGATATGTATTAGCAAAAAAAAAAATTGTGATATACACCTGCTGACTTACAACATTAAGAGTTAAAGCTGGCGTAACATTCTGTTCTTTGCTAACAAGAGCTACACAAAAGTGAACTGGCGAAGCAACCCAGCCATCCTGGCTTCACACATACCTGCTCCTCCTTCGGCGACTATAGCGGTGACAATCATAAGCATAGTGGCCTTTCTCGCCACACTCATAGCATCTGTCATTGGGGTCAAAGGGGCGCCGTGCAGGAGGCCTGTCATAACGGGAACGACGAGGCATCCCTGTCGACACTTCCACTCTAACCCTGGAGCC